TTAAAGAATGACATTATGTTTAAAGAATGACATTCCGTTTAAAGAATGATATTCCGTTTAAAGAATGACATTCCGTTTAAACTTTAAAGAATGCCATTCCGTTTAAAGAATGACATTCCGTTAAAAGAATGACTTTCCCAATTCACAACTGCATGAATGCACCCTTCAGGCCTGGCCTGTGTCTGAACAAACATTATAAAAATATCCTTTATTATTTATAAAAATTTAAAGTTTCTCAGCTTTTATATAGCAGAGACAAAGAGCGTAATTCACAGTTCCTTCAAACATGAACAAACAATAACGAATGTTTGCATACAATAAAAAGTTTTAAAAGCAAAAACTTTTAGATAGGATAAAAACATTTTCCAGCATTATCTAATACAATTTCAAATATTTTCATTAAAACCAACTTGACAACTTACGGACCTTCGCTTATATGTATTTTTATTTATATATGTGTTAGCTATAGCTGGCCAAACGGCTGGACCAAATTGGCTGAATTTTTTAGGAAACCCATGGGTACCCTGTGGTATGTAGTCTAAAAAAAGATTTATTTTAATAATCCAAATTTTTTTATTCCACTTTAGCTAGCAACACTTATAACCAAACAGAAATAACTAACAATAACAAACAATGTTAACACATAACAAATATGTTAAATCATTAACAGCATTGGGAATAACATAATGAAAATGAACACTTCAGAAAAATCTCATTAAACAAGAAAAAAAAACTGTAAAAAGAAATATGACACTAGAAACTTGAAACCTTCCAATTGAGAAAACTGAAATAATATTCCGGTTGGATTTGGGCATCTAAAGGAATTTCCGAGTTACAACAATACACTTAAAGGCTTTGTCTAATCAAACATAAATAAAATGGCCATATTTTTCCTCTTCACAAATGTTTACATTTAACTGTAAGGATTTATAAAGGTGCTGCAGCAGAAAAAACAAAGGAAATGATGAGAATTAATCCATTTATGTTAAAAAAAATCGACGATTTCTTGATTTGATATTGATTAATTTTAAGACTTTCGTCATGACTGAGCCCGGCATCCCATCTTGAAATGAATAGCCGTTTGAAATAATAAAGACAGTTTCTTTGATGACTAATTAAAATTTTATAATTAAATGTTTCTTACCAGTAGCAGTCTTGGTCTTAACATCAAGCTTGAGAACTCCAAAATGATATCCCTAAATAAATTTAATTAAATAAATTTAGTTAAAATAATTATATTGGCAAACTTTATCAAAACAACATATATAAAAACATGACGTACATGTACATGCATGTATATAACTTCATTGCAAAGAGGATACTGGATGCAGGATACTGGATGCAGGATACTGCATGCAGGATACTGGATACAGGAACCAGGATACTGGATACTGGATACTGGATACAGGATACAGGATACTGGATACGGGAACCAGGATACTGGATACTGGATATTGAATACAGGATACTGGATACTGGATACTGGATACGGGATACTGGATACAGGATACTGGGTACANTGCCCATCCGACCTACGAAAATGCCCATCCGACCTACAAAAAGTGCCCATCCAACCTACGAAAATGCCCATCCGCCCTACAAAAAGTGCCCATCTGCAGACCTACAAAATTGAGTGGCTGTCCGACGCTACAATTAATTATTTCATACCCTACTGCGCTATAGGCATATGACAAAAAGTGCTGATAGGTCGGATGGGCAAGAAGATATGCCCTACAGCTGTCGTAGGTCAGATGTTGCAGTAGGTCGGATGGGCATAGCGGATGGGCAATAGGACGGATGGGCAGTAGAGCGGATCAACATTACCAAATTTTTATTTTTAAATCGCCAATATTAAGAACTTTTTAACCTCGTGATAGACTTCTCAATTCATCTTAACAAACTTCTCTTCTTCATGACAAACTTCTCTCCTTCTTAACAAACTTCTCTCCTTCTTGCCTTAAACCTCTCTTACACTTCTTGCCAAACTTCTCTCCTTATTGCCAAACTTCTCTCCTTATTGGCAAACTTCTCTATTTCTTTACAAGCAATTCTCTTCTTCTTGACAATGACAAACTTATCTCTATCTTGAAAAACTTCTCTTCCTTTTGACAAACTTCTCTCCTTCATGCTAAACTTTTCTTCTTCTTGCCAAACTTCTCTCCTTCTTGCCAAATTTCCTTTCTTCTTGCCAAACTCCTCTCCTTTTTACTAAACTTCCGATCTTTTTGACAAACTTCTCTCCTTCTTGAAAAACTTCACTTTTTCATAGCAAACTTCTTTCCTTCTACACAAACTTCATTTTCTCCTTCTTGACAAACTTCTCTTCTTCTTGACATACTTCTCTTCTTCTTCACAAACTTCTCTTCTTCTTGACAAGCTTTGTTTCTTCTTGACATGAAATAAATATCATGTGTAATTGTAATAAATATTGTGCAACACAATATTGATAAACATGAACTACGTAACATGATTTAGACATGCATTGTGATTAGACTAACTACGTTTATATCTATCCGTGCTAATATTTTAAATATGTACATTAAACTTAAACTATGCTGTAAACATGAATGGTGATAGCTTAACTATGTTATGTCTATCCTCGCTAATCTTGTAAATATGAACATTAAATTTAATCTACACCGTATATATATATATCAATGTAAAACTTATAATTACGTCAATTAACTTTAACTTCCAACATAGATATTTAAATACAAATAAGTTAGTATTGACTCCACTTTGATTATGGTGATAGAAGTAATTTGGTCCAATTGTTAAACCATACCCGCTGAGCTTGTGTTCGTGTTGATATTAAGAGCTGATAAAATCGTGCCAATTGGTTTGGCATTGATTCCTTAAGAGCTTGTTTGATAGCTACACTTGTGTCTGTATTGACAGTAAGAGCCGATAAGATTGTGCCCATTGGTTTGGCATTGATCGCTTATGAGCTTGTGTCCCTTTTGTCATTGATAGCTGAGCTTGTGTCCGTGTTGACATTAAGAGCTGATAAGATTGTGTCCATTGCTTTGGCATTGATTGCTTAAGAGCTTGTTTGATAGCTTAGCTTTTATCCATGTTGACAATAAGGGCTAATAATATCATGTCATTAGTTTGGCATTGATTGCTTAAGAGAATTTGTGTCCCTGCTGAAATTAATAGCTGACAAGTTGCACCTGGATTGATACAGTTCTGGACAAAAGTGTTAATAGTAGGGCATTTACTACAGACAAACTTTCTTGACACTTTTCTCTTTCTTGACAAACTTCTCTTCTTCTTATCAAACTTCTCTCCTTCTTGGCAATCTCAAGAAATAATAATTTTCTTAAAAAATTCTTTAAAAAGTGAGTATTTGCAAATTATCTTTTTTCCATCTCATGATCTGAGTTTGTTTTCCTTTTGTCCTATTGACAGCCCATTTAAATTTTTTTTAAATAATCTTTTTTTTTGTTTATTCTCTTTTGGTTTTTAACATCGCTTTTGATGGTTATTATATCGTTACCCGAGAAACCATCTTACGTATCTTACAAAATTTCGTTTTCTGTTTCGTTTCTGTATCGATTCTGTAACGTTACATGAAATGTAACATTACATAACGTTTTAGAACCGTATTTGAAACGTTTCTGGATACCAATCCAAATTGTATGTTAATGAACAATTGTATTTGTTAATTATAAATTTCTTATGTAATTCCTATATGTTAATTAATTCATGCGTCAAAATGTGTAAATTTTAATCTTTTCAAAAAGTTTTTAAACTTCGTTTCTGAATCGTAAAGTTACATAATGGATTTAAAAAAAAGAAATTTGAATAAACAGCTGATTTTAGATCTATATAGAAAGATAGATAGATAGATA